AACGTCCAACAGGTACAAGATATAACTCAAGATACCAAATTACTACCGTAAAACATGGTGAAGGTAACGTGATGGTTTGGGGATCATTTTCTTATGATGAAGTTGGTCCATTGATTGAGATCACGGGTACTATGGACGCTATAATGTATCGAGATATATTGACACAGCATATGTTGCCATATGCAACTCGAAACATGCCACGTGGTTGAATTTTCCAACAAGATAATCCCAAACATTCATCAAAACTAATAAAAGGATTTTTCATCGTGAAAAAAAATGCGAGTTCTTGATTGGCCCTCGCAATCGCCAGACTTGAATTCTATTGAGCATTTGTGGCAAGAACTCAAACTACGTACAGGAAATAAGAAACACTCCAATGAAGCTGAATTGTGGCAAGATTTGCAAACTCAATGGCAAAATTTATCTCAAGATCGCATTTCTAATTTAATAGCATCAATGCCTCGCCGTGCTGCAGTGATTGTTTCTAAAGGCATGACAACAAAGTATTAAGTTTAAAAAAACGTTGACAACATTTTCTGTTATTATTTTTCAATAATATATTTTTCTTATACATAAGAAAACTTTGGCGCAATACTTTTGCACTGTTTGTAATAAGACATTGTGTAAAAATAAAGTATTTAGAATTATTAAGAGTTTGTAAAGTTTATATAATTGTAGGACAAATGAATACATTTTGTTTATATATATAAAGTTTTTAGCGCTCATTATGAAATGAATATTTAATAATAATTAAGTGGCTCAAAAGTTTTGTACGCCACTGTGTATATATATATATATGGGAGGGGGAAGAGAGAGAGAGAGAGCGAGAGAGAGAGAGAGAGAGAGAGAGAGAGAGAGAGAGAGAGAGAGAGAGAGAGAGAGAGAGAGAGAGAGAGAGAGAGAGAGAGGAAGGGAGAGAGAGAGAGAGATTTATATATTTGTTTCGTGAAAAAGCATGTTACAACTGTAGGTTTTCATTGAGAGGTTGCTACTTTCTGCACGGAAAATTATTGAATTTAGAGAGTCGTGCCTATTGAGACTTTCGTTCGAGATGTCGAGGACCATAACATACTTCAATTCCATGTAATTTAACCGAAGGCACATTCCCATAAAATCTGTACGGTGTCCTTTGCCGGCCGCATAGAGGCTTCTAACGTTTCATGTGGCTATCTCTAGTTTGGACTTTGCTATTTTGAGTCGAGAAATTTTTAGCATCTCTGGCCCATCTAAGGGCCGCCCGGGACTCGGAGCCGTATTATTTCTGTTTCTCGCCATAGCAATGTCCTGGGGAAAAGATGCATAGCAGTGTGGTATCTCGTTGCTTTCACTGCACTATTTTCAGCCGCCCTTGACCTGGGAAACCAACGCTGTTTTTGCAGCCGCACACTATGAATCAGACGCTGCGGATATTATTCACCATATCTGGTTATCTTCACTTCGTTTAACCTGCAGGCCGATGTAGTAGTTATAGTAGTTACCCGGGGTGTGGCACGGAGAGCCATAAGTGAAAATTGGGTGCTCTATGAAGACCAGACATCTTGACCACTCTCCGCTAGCGTTGAGTGCGACCGTCTTTGATGCAAGGTGCTACTTCTATAGCGCAACCCCTACACCCCAAGAGTGACTAATTTTGTTAATTATTTTTGTTATGGAGAATATCATATTTGAAATATTCATGTTTTTCAGGTTGCTGATAAAACCAGTTGAAATTGCAAAATATAAAATGGCGGATTCCATATGACAGTTTCTAGTGACTAACGGTATTTCATTATTGATACTTTTATCTCCATTATTAGCCAGTGAAATATGTTAGAGATAATTACTTTGCCAAATGGTTTTGGTGGAAATCTCGGATGTATGATAATTGTTATTTGCGACCAAAAAGGCACTGAGTTTGATACATATCCATAATAGAATATTAAAGTTAGCCACTTAAAGTCACTATATTGGATCCACTATTTCGAATTTTGAAATTTCAACTCTAGATACGTTATCAGCAACCAAAAAAACCCTTATAGATAAGCTTCCACGTAAAACATGAAATGAAATTATTCCTTCTCACCAGTTTTGGTACAAAACATTAATTTCGCGTTCACCAAGGAACTGGTAAATATAACATAATATTTCATAATAATTGCATTTTACAGTAATAAAAGTAAAATCCAAACTGTAAATCAGGAGCACTGAAAGGCTTAAGAATGATCGTTTGAATGAAGTTTCGATAAAAGTTGCTTTGTTTAATATCAAGAATCTTCTTACATACTTCATATGCGACAATTTTGAGATATTTTATATATCCATATCATTTAAGGGATTGAATGTGTAATAATAATAAGTAAAATTATATTAAACTTAATACACAGAACTGGTATAGAACACATCAGAACTGATATTGAAATCCAATTAGGAAAAGATTGCCTATATCGGACTAGTTCTCAATTTTCTTTTTATAATGTGCAAATATTTAATAAAAATGGAATAAAGATTAAATTGAAATTATTCTTGATTTTTTTGTGACATTCTATAATTTTTTGACATTTTTGGTACAACATCTGGCGATACGTCTTCTTTAAAACTTTTTTTGCAAGTCATAATTTTGACAATTATTTATTTAAATTGTACCATCGACTTTTCTAAATTATACCTTTCCTTTATTGTACCGATATGATTAATTTAAAAACTGGGAAAGGATAAAAATAAAATACAAACAATTTAAATATAGTATTAGGTGTACAACTTTGCTTCCGCCGTTTTCCTATAGATGGCTTTAGCGGTAAGTAGTAGTCGAAATAAATAGATCATAGACGTCATGCAATAAACTTGGGCATCTGTCAACATAACCCCATAGAAACATTAGTCGATTTGTGTCTACATCATAAAGTTATTCTCGATTGAAAATGTCAGTTTACGAGCCAAATTCTCGTCATTTGCGGGAGGTTTTAATTTTTTGCTTCAATATGAAGAAATCTGCGGCTGAGACTTATCGAATGCTCTCAAATACTTATGGTGAGGCCGCTATTAGTGAAAGAACGTGTCGTGAGTGGTTTCAACGCTTCAAGAACGGTGATTTTCACGTCGAAGTCCGGCATAGCGGTGGAAGAGAGAAGGTTTTCGAAGATGCAGAATTGGAGGCATTACTTAATGAAGACTCGTGTCAAAGTCAAGAAGAATTGGCACGATCATTGGGAGTGACTCAACAAGCAATTTCAAAACGCCTCAAATACATGGGAATGATTCAGAAGCAAGGAAATTGGGTGCCGTACGAGTTGAAACCGAGAGATGTTGAACGGCGTTTGTTTGCTTGTGAACAGTTGCTTGAAAGGTAAAGACGGAAGGGATTTCTGCATCGCATTGTGACTGGGGACGAAAAACGGGTTCATTACGATAACCCCAAGCGCAGAAAATCATGGGCATATCCTGGCCATGCTTCCACGTCGACGGCCAAATCGAATATTCCCGGCTCCAAAGTCATGCTCTATATTTGGTGGGACCAGTTCGGCGTAGTGTATTATGAGCTGTTAAAACCGACTGAAACAATCACAGGAGATCGTTATCGCAATTAATGCGTTTGAGCCGAGCATTGAAAGACAAACGGCCGCAATACAACGAGAGACACGATAAAGTGATTTTGCAGCATGACAATGCTCGACTCCATGTTGTGAAAGTGGTCAAGACATACTTGGAAACGTTGAAATGGGAAGTCCTACTCCACTGTATTCTCCAGACGTTGCTCCCTCTGACTATCACTTGTTTCGATGGCACACGGCCTGGTTGACCAGCACTTCCGGTCTTATGAAGAAGTAAGAAATTGGATCGATTCGTGGATCGCTTCAAAAGATGACCAGTTTTTTCAACGCGGGATTCGTACGCTGCCCGAAAGATGGGAGAAAGTAGTGGCCAGCGATGGACAATACTTTGAATCATAAATATATAACCATTTTTTACAATAAAGCCTCGAATTTCGGAAAAAAAACGGCGGAAGCAAAGTTGTACACCTAATAAATACGAGTTTTATTGAAATTATCGTTTGTATAAAAAGTAAAAAAATATATTTTAATTCAAAAAATAAACATTAAAATTACAAAATGAAAATATTTTTATTTTTAAATATTGAACTAAGAAATTGATTAATTTTTTGAGTGCTAAATACTTCCAGCCGAAACGCTCCGTGTGGACGGCCGCGGCTTACAGTTGCGATTGCTGAAGACGGAATATTTTTTCGCATAATGTGAACTTCGTTGATTGATTATACAGGATGTTCCATTTTAAAAAACGCACCTCGATAATTCTTCAACGAAGCATTTTCAGAAAAAATGTTTCGGATAAAAGTATGAGGTAACTATGCACATTAAGTCAACCCCCTCAAAAGTTCATGACCTTGATATACAGGGTGTCCCATTTTAAAGGACCCACTCAAATATCTCAGAAACACTACGTTAAATCGAAAAATGTTTCAGACAAAAGTTGTTTGATTTGAAGATGGACAACTATTCGTCAAAAGAAAAAATACTATTAGACTTTTATTTTATTTACAATCAAGAATATATTACTATAATAATACCCTAACTTTTGTTAACTTATCGACCTTTGGAAATCTTAAAATTATTAAATTAACAAAAGTTAGAGCACTATTATAGTAATATATTCTTGATAGTAAATAAAGTAAAAAAATCTAATATTATTTTTTCTTTCGACGAATAGTTAGCGAGATATTGTAAGTTAAATGTTGAAAAAGTTACCAAGTTTTACTTAAATATCTCAAAATATATTAAGCAAATAAAAAAATGTTTCAGACAAAAGTTGTTGAAATTAATTGGTAGAAAAAGATGATATAATAAAAAATTCATATTTCCATTTAAGAAAATTGATGATCAGTGAATATCTCGAAAGTCGCGCCATCTATAAACAAAATGCTATCGCTTTCTTATGTTCCTCTTTAAGCCAAATAACTTTTATCTTAAACATTTTTCGATTTAATACAGTGTTTCTGAGATATTAGAGTGGATCCTTTAAAATGGGACACCCTGTATGTTCTTAAGGACATGTTCCTGAGTGTTATGCGAAAAGTTGTAGCCGTCGCTTATTGTTTATTAAAAAGTTCTTAAGGGACTTACCTAGTGTGACCACATGAAAATGGGGGCGATTTTCGAGGATTTAAAAAAAAAACTTCTACCATATATTTTAAAAGTTTGAGGCTATATTAAGTAACATTTGAAGAAGTTATAAAAATTTTATTGCGAAAAAATATTGACATGTATTGGAAATATTAGTAATTTCTCGGAGGAAAAAAAAAGTAGCCCAACTGCTGCAGCGATAAGTGATGTCAGAGTGCCTGAAATAAAAAAAGACGAAAAAGGCGTTAAACTAGATAAGTTTTCCTATACAGTGAACTAGGATTATGAAAAAATATTGAAAATTAAAAAAATTACGGTGTTGTAAAAGAAAAAGTTCGAATTTAGTAAAAAAAAAGTACCCGTTTTTTGCGTGGCAAATTGACATTTGTTGACGGATTGAAAAAATCCTAGTTTACTGTATGACAAAACATGTACTGAGTATGCCTATCAAATTTGAAGTTGATTCATTAATTTGTTCGCGAGTTATGACTGCAGCAAATTTCGAAAACATTGTTTCGAGAAAAACGCGTTTCAAGTTTTAACTATTGATTTTTTGTTATAAAAGAAAATTTATCATACTTACAGCTATTCAGTTATTCCAGGCCTATATAATTCGCCTTCCTCTTGTTCGAAAAATTGTTGCTGGGCCGCTGCAGCTGTCCTGCGAGCCTCCTTTGAAGCCTCGCGGTGCCGTTTTTCTGCTACCTTCATTCGTCTCATGTCTCGTTTTTCTGCATAATCTTTGGCAGAGGGCCTAATAATCACTCCCATTGTTTCAAATGTTTTCAAAATAGCTTGGAAACCTTCATTAAAAATTGCAACAGCAAAGAAATTTGCCAGTTCTATTGTTTTTAAACCACTGTGAAGGTGTTTAGGAGCAAAGTGCCACAACAAACCATTATAACTTTCGTTATTATTTTGTGTATTACTACCCTTGCACCTGTTTAATAATTCAGGCCTATTTAAATCACTATAAATTGGCTCTAGAACTTCTTGAATCTGTAGGTCCAGAGGAAGATAGTCATGTTTAAATTTCGTCATGTCGTACTGGTGTACTCGGTCGACTGCTCCAGCGTGTGTCGATTTCCCTGGAACTTTCTTTTCTTATTGGTACTTCTACGCGTTGGAGTATCGTGTGTGCCTTTTTGTACACTAGATTGATTTTTCCCATTCATTTTGAATGAAATTCGCGCTGCGATGTGCTCTGCACAGTGGCTAAAAATGAACTAAACGGGTCGCTTACGTATACCTGCGTCGAGCGGCTTCGAAACCTTTTGAGCTGGCAATAACGCTTTCGTACGAACATAAAGGGATTATTGTGAGTCCTTCGAACTACCAGGCTCTCTTTTCTATCTTTGAAGTATAAACGATTACGTCAGAGCCTAAGAACTACCGCAACTGCCCGGCGTCCCGCTTCGCCGGCGAGAATCGAGTTTATGGCCCCCGACCAGCTGCGCTGTCGTTTCATACCTGCCGTTTCTAAAATATTTCAGATACGACCATAACACTTCAGGATATTATTCTACAGATGTTAAACTGTCAAAAAATGTGAAAAAATTCGATTTTTTCAAACCGTCACACTAGGTAAGCCCCTTAAAAGAATTTTCAAAAATAGAAAATTTTCCGACACCATATATATATTGGGTTAAGTAAAAAATGTTGAGCGTTTTCCGCTAGATGGCTTTAGCGAGGTCATATCTCACGATGTATACGTCGCATCTGGTCATTCTATACTGCGACTTAAAGGTGACATAACGCTTTAAAAAAAGTTCTTTGACAGTTTTGTGTTTGGTGAAGCCAGTTGTGTGTTAGAGCGTTCCAAAATGGAGGTAAAAAAAGAGAAAATTAAATACATTCTTCAGTACCACTACGACCAAAGGGAAAAAGTGGAGCAAGCGGCCAAAAAAATTTGTGCTGTTTATGGACCCAATACAGTATCGAATGCAACAGCAAAGCGGTGGTTCCAACGATTCCGTTCTGGTAATATGGACGTCGAAGATGAGACACGCTCTGGTAGGCCAATCGTCGAAAATGTCGATAAAATCATGGAAATCGTCGAGTCGGACCGGCATGCGAGCACTTATTCCATTGCCCAGGAACTGAAGATTAGCCAGAAAACCGTTTGGAACCATTTGAATAAGACTGGTCTCAAGAAGAAGCTCGATGTATGGGTGCCACACGAATTGACGCAAAAGAACTTTTTGGACCCAATTCATGCCTGCGATTCTTTGCTGAAGTGTAACGAAATCGACCCATTTTTGAAGCGGATGGTGACTGGCGATGAAAAATGGGTCACATACGAGAACAACAGGCGAAAAAGATCGTGGTCCAAGCGCGGTGAGCCGGTCCAAACGATCGCCAAGCCCGGATTAACGGCCAAGAAGGTTTTACTGTGTGTTTGGTGGGATTGGAAGGGAATCATCCACTATGAGCTGCTCCCATCGGGCCAATCATTCAATTCGGACCTACCTACACTGTCAACAACTGACCAGATTGAAGTAGGCGATCGACGAGAAGCGGCCAGAATTGGCCAATAGGAAGGGTGTTGTGTTCCATCAAGACAATTCCAGGCCGCACACATCTTTGACGACGCGCCAGAAGTTCCGAGAGCTTGGATGGGAGGTTATATCGCACTCGCCGTATAGCCCAGACCTGGCTCCAAGCGATTATCACTTTTTCAAGCATTTGCAAAATTTTCTTGGTGGTACAAAACTGGCCTCAAGAGAGGCTTGTGAAAATGAGGTGGTCAAGTTTTTTACCAATAAGGACGAGGACTTCTTCAATCGCGGAATTATGAAATTGCCTTCAAAATGGACAAAAGTTATCGAACAAAACGGCGTATATTTGATCTAAATCCGATAATCCTAACTTTGTTAATTTCATCGTCGAAATAAAGAGAAAAAACGCTCAGAACTTTTTACTTCACCCAATATTTAAGAAATGAAGGTAAATATTTACCTATGGGGACCACCACCTCCCGATCTCAAAAATTTTAGTTGTATGTTATGTAGATCATCACTCTGAGTAATGCTGCAAGGTTTTAGCCGGCGGTCACTATTTATTAAAAAGTTATTAACAAAAAAGTTTGGTATATACGTAAGTTGCAAGTGCGTTTAGCACGGGGCGCTACACGCGCCCCACCCCCATTCCTCACCCCACCTCCGTCCCACCCCCATTTCACCTGCTTCTCTTTATCTCCTTCCCATTATTTGTTTTCTATCACTTTCGTCTTAAAAGATAGCAACTTTTGACTTTGAGAGATCTCCAGCTTGTACCACTAGGTACAAGTAACAATGCCTCTCTCTGTAGTCGCCGTGCGCTCGGGATAGCAATAAAGATGTCGCTTCCGAACGACATCTCTTAACGTTATCTAGGGAGGGGAGAGTGTCGTGAGCGTGGAGCGTCAGGTAGCTCAGTGGTTTGGAGCAGTCGCCCAGCAAGCGAAAGACCCGGGTTCGATTCACGGTCTTGCGACTACCGCGCTCTTGATATTTTGCTCTCTTCGGAACGAAAATAAGATGCAGGTCCCGAACGCACGGCGTCCCGTCGCCACCTAGTACGTCCTCCTTCTTTCATGGTAAATATCGGGAAGTGAGGATGGGCGCGTGTAGCGCGCCATGCTAAACTCACTTGCAACTTACATATATTCCAAACTTTTTTTGTTAATAACTTTTTAATACTTTTTAATAAACAGTGACCGCCAGCTAAAACCTTGCAGCATTACTCAAAATAATGATCTACTTAACATACAACTAAAATTTTTGAGATCGGGAGGTGGTCCTCATAGGTAAATATTTACCTTCATTTCTTAAATATATATATGGTGTCAGAACATTTTTTATTTTTGAGATTTCTTTTAAGAACTGTTTAATAAACAATGAGTGACAGCTGCAACTTTTTGCATAACACTTAAGTACATGTCCTTAACAACATATATTAAAGTCATGAACTTTTGAGAGGGTTGACTTAATGTGCATATTTACCAAATATTGATTTTTAAATCACATAAATACTTTATATCTACGTAGATTTGTTTCGCAAAAAAATAAAACTTTCATATATATTGATATAATTAAAATTATTTAATTATTTTGTAAAAAAATTAAAATTGTTTCAAATCTACTAGAATTAATAATTCAGTTGGGTGTGCTAAGTCTCAAATAATTATCAATACACAAATCGACATCACATTTTCTGCATTTATATCTCGTATCACTTCTTTTTTATGTTTTTATGAACACATTTCCTTCTTGTTAATCGTGCATTACTCGATTTGATCCGAACATTTTGATACGAAATACCTACCTGTTAAACGAAACAGACAGAAAATAACTGATACAAATGGATTTATTTTTTACTTGTTAAGGAACGCATGTATTCATCTCATATTTATAATATAAAAACATAAAAATGACAAACAGTTAAATTAATATCTTAGTTAAATTATATAATAATATATAATTTTAAAACTTTCTAAATGCCTTATGTAAAAGGTACTAAAAAACTCACTTCTAAAACTAAAAGAATCTTTACTTGCTTTTTCTAACTAGATGTTTTCGTGCATAAACACTCATTTTCTTCTTTTAACTATACGGCAATACATGAACTTCGCACAATATGTAAATTGTGCTAGACTTTCGAATTCTATGAAATATAAAGATGGTACAATTTAGGAGCCAATAAAACAATCAGCGACTTTACTTGCATTAAATATAAGAATATAAATTATAACGTCATGTTGTATATTGTTGAGAACGCCAAAATAATTTTAGTTCTACTAAATAATTACTTTCTTTAATTTTTCATTCGAGTACTTTAGAGTGTATTTATTATTATATTAATAAAATTATTGTCAAACTAGTAACACACGAAACATCAATAAATTTTCAAATCGAAGAAAATCTCAAACTTATTACTTAGCAATTTTGATAAATATTACTCAAATATCTTCCCTTTCTAAATATTCTGCATCAAAAAATAGGTTTGTAACCGTTTATTTTATAATATTTTACTTATTATTCATTATATCTTAATTGAGGAGAAATTAAAATATAATTACTTAGTGATAATGATTTTCTCTCTGTTTTTGAAGAAATTCTGTTTAATTACCTGTATATCTTCTATAATATATTTTTTGACAAAGTGAATTTTTGAAATCTCACGTGATTTATTATTTTTCATTTATATTACGACTTATTACAGCAGAAAAATCAGAAACAACAAGGAAACGGAAACGTACTGATAGTAACAGTAGCTGTAGTAGCAGTAGCAGCAGTAGTTCTTCTGGCAGTGACAGCAATAAGCCAGATACACCAAAACCAGAAACTCGTAAGTACCACTTACTGGTACTGGTAGAAGTAAATTGACACTTTTTTGTATGTGTATATTAACATTATATTATTCTTTTATCAAGTAAATTAATATTTTTAGCTATTAATGAGAAAATGGAAGTTGATAATGAAGAAGCCAACAAAAGAAATATTAAAGAAGAGAATCGGGAAAGAAAATTGGAATCAGAAACTGCAGATAGCAAAAAGTCAACGATTGAACCGGAAGCGGTGATTGATTTAGCTAGTGAAGATAAAGAGAAGGAGCCCAGAGCTTTGCATAAAACTAGCAGCATTTTTCTTCGTAATTTAGCACCTACTATTACTAAAGCGGAAGTTGAAGCGGTTAGTTAAAATATCTATCAACTAAATTTTTCAATAATTTCCTCTGATTGGATAATTCACATATGTTTCTTCTATTATAATATTTTTATATTTTACTATAATATTTTAAATTAAATATTTTATTAAATATTAACAATTTATTAGTATATCATATTTATCGTTATAGATGTGCAAACGATTCCCCGGTTTCTTACGCGTAGCTATAGCAGATCCACAACCAGAAAGGCGATGGTTCCGCCGTGGTTGGGTTTCATTCGAGAGACAAGTGAACATTAAGGAAATTTGTTGGAGTTTAAATAATATACGAGTAAGAGATAGTTCATTCATATGTTGTTTCTAAAGAAATATTATCAAAATTAAATATATTTTATCTCTATATTTTTCTTATCCGTGAGCAGCTCCGTGATTGTGAACTTGGTGCTATAGTCAACAGAGATTTGTCTCGACGTATTCGAGCAGTAAATGGTTTAACCTCGCACAAACAGATTGTTAGACATGATATTAAGCTTAGTGCTAAGATCGTTCATAATTTAGATAATAGAGTGGGTTTATGGAATGGAGAGAAGAAAGATGAAGTGAAGCAAGAAGACGATAAAGAAAATAAGACCACTGAAAGTAATCACGAGGTCGAACAAGCTGTAAGCAAAAGTTGCATATTACTATATATTCTGAGTGATCAAATTATATCAAATTGTACATGTTATTTTAGGCTTTTGGATTGTCGTCTAAAAATCCAGTATTAAAAAATATAACGGATTATTTAATAGAAGAAGCTTCAGCTGAAGAGGAAGAATTATTGGGTATGTCAGGAGACCAAGAAGAAGGTCAACTAGGTGACGGAGATAGTCAAATCGAAAGAGATCCTGCCTTAATAAAGGTAAATTAAACTAATTTACAACGTGGATTGTGCATGTACTGGAGTATCATTTTAATAAATTTTTTACACGATGATATAAAACCTGCTTCTTTACGTAGGTGTTGGACAGACTAATATTATATTTGCGAATTGTCCATTCCGTTGATTATTATAATCATTGCGAATATCCAAATGAAGATGAAATGCCAAATAGATGTGGCATAATGCATGTTAGAGGATCTCCACCTACAGCCAAAATTGCTAGTGCCGAATTATCGGAATATTGTCGTAACTTTGAAAGTAAAATGTCTGCTTTCTTACAACCTGTTGCAACTTTATCTGCCGAAGAGTTTGACAAACTAGGTGCGAAGAATGCTGAAGCGTATCCTTTTTTCTCTGTGTGCTTTGAATATAAAATTTATAACAGTAATTTATTGAAAAATTTATATTTCAAATTGCTTGAATTATAAAATAATATAATAAATTTTAATTTTGAACTTTCGAATTTATTCTTATTTATAGCTATATTTATTAGTAATAACCATCTCAAAAATGCTTTCCATACAATATAATGTGTGTTATAAACAATATGTCCTTAATATACAAACAGTGAAGTTGAAAAGTTTGTACAAGCTAATACTCAAGAATTATCAAAAGATAAGTGGTTATGTCCTCTTAGTGGAAAGAAATTTAAAGGACCCGATTTCATTCGAAAACATATTTTTAACAAACATTCTGAGAAAGTTGCTGAAGTTAAAGCCGAAGCCGAATATTTTAATAATTATTTGAAAGATCCGAAGAGACCTCAACTTCCTGAACACCCTGGTAACAAAACTCCACTGAGAGATGGACCACGCCACAGTTTTCCACCATATGGCTGTAGTTCGTAAGTAATGATTATAAATAAATTTTTGATATGTTCATAGAATAGAATAAGAATAAGATAAATAATTTTAATAGAAATGGCTAGAAATCAATTTTTGACAAGCAACGGTTGAGACAAGTACATATGCATCATGATCATTGTCATGTATAAAATTATTATTTTTTATTTCTACCTATATAATAAGAACAATTCTTTATGTAACATGCGTAAAATATAAGAATTATATAACAGAAATATGTATTTATGTATTAATAGATTTGGAAGTTACGGTGGTGAATATGGTGGTAGCAGAGGTGGTTATGGTTCTGGCTACAGTGGTGGATTTGGCGGAGGCTTCGGCAATCCACGTCCTAATCGTGGCGGTTTCAACCGAGGACGGTAAGCTTTTTTCTATGTCCCATTGTGTAATATTAATTAAGATAAATAATGCGTTTAGATAATTGCATAGTCGATGAATTTATATGGAAGATTTATATACCTGATATACAGTTTTTATTTGACAAATCATATGTTGATAAATTTTGCACACATTGAAATGAAAATAGATTTTAAAAGACATTTATGCTGCAAGTACATTTATGGTCCATTAGAGTTAATAGACTGAATCTGGTAATACAATGTTTTACAGGGCAGCTGCGGATACTTCGACTTATTATTAGTTACAATGACTTGGACCAGTTGAACATAAATATGTTCTAATTTTTATTGAAATGTATAAAACTAATTGGCAACTAATCAGACTCAATAATAATATAAACTAGTGCTAGGGGATAAGTGCCTACTTCGGCCAGATTTCGGAGGCGACGTCTACTTTCTTCCTACTGCCACTCTTGGTTTGACGGCTAAGCTGCCGATCGCTTTGCGCGACAGCTTTGTTTTCAGGAGCGTTCACATATGAAAAATATGCTGAGATCGTACTTTCCGCCAAACCGTCATTAGAATAAAACCATATGTTTTATCTTTATAAATTCTTAATGGAATAAACCCACTGGAAAAACTACTTTAAAAGAAGAAAAGAAGAAGAAAACAGTAGTACCATCAATAATAGTACCTTACGGGTGATGAGGAAATCTATTGTCAAAATTCTAATGACAGTTTGGCGGAAAGTACGATTCCAATATATTTTTTATATGTGAACGCTTCTGAAAATAAAGCTATTACACACGATCGGCGGCTCGGCCGTCAAGCCAGAAGCGATAGTAGGAGGAAAGTAAGCATCGTCTCCGAAATCTGGCCGAAGTGAGCACTTTTATCCCCCAGCACTAATATAAACAAGAATGCTATTGCAGATTTTGTGCCAACAGATTTATATCTGGATTATGTAACACGTTATTACTAAAAGAAATAAAATGAAATTAATATGGTTCAAGATAGTGTTACAAAATCAGCACAATTTTTAATCATAAATAAGAGAAATTTATTTATAATAGAAAAAGAAAAGGGTATCTGCATATCAATTTTTTTTTTAATAAACCTTACAATTAAATAGAAAAAAATTATTGCTATGATATGCTATTTCCAATATTATATCATTACAAATTAGGATAACTTGTATTTTCTTACAAATTAATATTTTTTTCTGGTGTATATTTACAAAAATTTTTCTAAAAAATATAGCATAAATATTCCTTTACTCACACTATGCATCAAGATCTAGATTTCCAGCTATTTGTAAAAACAAACAAAAAATTGTCTATATATTAATGTTTATCTTATTGAATAATAATTATAGAATATCATAGTAACATTTTAAAATAATGCTAATAAAATGAGTTTTAGGATCCTTCGATCTTCCGCTGTAAATTTATAACATGAATAACAAATAAACCTATTTGTTTTATTAATGATATTTTATTTTATTCCATTTCTCTAATTAAACCCTATGTCCGGTTGGTCATCGTATAACATAGCATTATGAAGTTACATTAATTCTTAATGACTAAATTACGTATATAATATATAACGTAATAATAATAAAGTATATTAAAGTAACAATAATAAAATAGTTACTACTATTTGTAAAAAATGTAGTTTCAATAAGCTTTGTTAAATATGTATTTAGTGAAATTTTATGATTTTTACTGTCTTCGATATAAATAATAGAAAACATATTTTATTTAAATATGAAAGTTTTATATGTATAAGAATATATATTAATATAACAAATTATTTTAACAATAATATCCATGTTATAATAATTTTAATATTTAACATTCTAGTGGCGGTAGTAGTGACTTCCGACCAGTCATACATTATCGAGATCTCGATGCACCACGAGAACCGGACGAATTCCTATAAGATGATCAAGTTTACCAGATGGACTATCAATATAAAGATATGGTTATGTTGCTTAAAACCGTTTGCTCTATTTTAACATCATCGATGTTAAAATAATTATAAACACATGAATACAAATTATGTACAGGATATGAGATGTTATATGTTTTACATATCAAATCGACTTCATATATTTCTCAACAATAATTATATTTAAACAAAATATGCACTATAAATTAGTAAACTATTATGTGCTTTTTTGTTTGTTAGAATATATAATGCAATGCTATATACTTACTATATTTTATGTGTGGATAAAGGTAAATTGCAAACAAATGTAAACCAGATTTCATAATTTTAATTATTATAATCGTTTGTAATATGTATTCCATGAAAATATAGATTTAGCATAATAATAAAAACTCACGAAAAAAAACAAAGTTGTGTATTATTTCTACAAGATTATAGAAAAGAATACAAAATATAGGATATAAAAGAAAAAAAATACTTGGTACAGGATGTAATACAAGTAAAGCCATTTAACACATTTATATTTTACATTTTTTTATTTTTCTATATTTCTGTTCATACAACACGCTATATATATTACTTACATTTACTTGTTAGGTTACACACTATACTTATTTCATATTTCATATTTCACATTTGTATTTTTACGTCTAATTAAAATACTGCAATTCATTTCCGATTGTCAATATCTTCTCATGTGCTTAAATTAGGTAAATATATCTTTACAATGTCTCTCGTCTGTGCCATCTCCACAGTCATCAACTCCATTACATCTCATGCCTTTTGTAATACACCTACCGTTTCTATATATAACAAAAATAAATGTATAAAATATTAATTTTATTATACAAATTTGTGAATTTTTCCTAGTTTAATTGGAGAGGGACTATCGAAAAATATGAAAAGAGGAGATTAAAAGCTATCGGAAGCGGGGAAAGAAGAGAATGGGAAAAGGAATAGTGAAGGGAAAAGAAACGTAAGAGGAATAAAGATAGAAGAGGGAGAAATAAAATATGTTAAATTTGACATATAGTCTGTCTAATAAGACTGCGACTGGCAGAACTTTTGTTTGGAAACAGATCAAAAATTTCAAAGAATGCGAATAGTACTACTCGTTTCCTCTATGACACATTATAGAAAAAAGATCAATTCTTGATCGATTTTTGCAGAAGAATAATACTTTTACACGAATGTCATATATGCATAATAGTTTAATGGCATATTTTTATGTTTGCATCAAAAACAACCAAAGATATCGCGTGAAGCAACTACAAAAAATACAAAAAATCTAAAACGTTAATTAACAAATGGTTTAAACGATTCGGGAAAATAAAAAATTTGGATGATGGATTATTTAAAATTAGCGCGAAAAATATCAAAACAAAATAATCAGATTATATAGAAATATTTCAAAGGATCTTAGTTTATCATGATATCAAAGAATTTTAGTTTTGTATAATAGGCACCAGTATTAAAGAAAAAGAGATAAATATATGCTACAATACTTTGAAACCGTTTATGTGTTCATAATTTTAAATATCGGAATATAATAAACGGTTTTTAATAAAAGAACACGGTTGTTATTGAGAAAAGAAACGTTTGAAGAGCTTGAGAAAACAAAATTCACGAAAAAATATCGATCGTAATTAATATATAATGAAAATTTTCTTTAACAAAACTTCATATATGTATATATTATTCAATTGTCTCCATTTTCAATAATTGCCTGACATCTGCAGCATAATTTTCATCAAATTGATAAAAATCAGTTGATAAAAGTTAAGATAAAGATTTTTATATCAGATAAATCTACTAAATTATACAGGGTGAGTATTTTTAATCTTAACAGGTAACTATTTCGAAAATATGCAATTTTACAAAGAAAACTTTTTAAATAAAAGTTGTATGATGTTGAAGGAGACGTACAATAGTGACCTTGATTGGACCTTGGGATTTCTCCTTAAGATCAGAGGATGGTCAACCTAATTTTCTCAAATGGAACCCTGTATTTTTCACATCATATTCTTATAGTTGACTTCAAGACCTTTCCAAAATGTTATGATAAAGTATTTTTTTATTGAGTACTTTCCGAATTATGAAACTAGAGATGAGCTAGAGATTCAAGACGCTGCTACATAGCTATCACTATAGAAGGGATGTGGTGGGGATGTCTTCTGTCCCAACAAGAGGTGTCTGCGCGGAAGGAGAAAACTATTGAGAAACGACGAACGACAGACAATTAAGAGACGGACTAGTTAAGAGTTGATATGTAGATGTAGCGCCCTGGATTGCTCGTTAATGAAACGCGCCTTAGAAAGTATATAAGTGACGGTCTATGGACTAGCCACTTTAGGTACATAATTGAGTACAAAAGTATTAAAATTAAAACTTTGTTTCCTTGATCATTTTTGACATGACCGATTATTCACCTAATGAAATTGACATGATAATTGAATATGGAAGAAGCAATGAAAATTCCCGAGAATGTGCGCGTCAGTATGCATTACGGTATCCAGATCATCGATATCCCAGTTATGTAACAATAATCAGTCTTATAAATAGGGCCTATGAAGGTAACTTACATCGTAAACGTAAAAAAATATCTTTAATTGATGATAATAATTTGACTATAGCTATTTTAGAGATGACAACCATAAATCCTCAAATTAGTCAACCTACAATCAGTCGAGAACTCAATATTTGTCAAAAATCTGTTTAACAAATTTTAAAAGCGAATCATTTTCACGCTTATCATATTCAACGACATCAGGCACTTATTGAAAATCGGAAACGAAAACGCGTTGAATTTTGTCATTAGGGTTTGAGAAAATTACAGGAAGATCCGATTTTGACAAGGTTTTATTTACCGATGAATCTAGTTTTCAGAATACCGGTGATTTAAATCACCATTATTATATAGTTTTTTGCCATTATTATTAATGCCATTACTTTTCAAATGTAGATCCATTTTGGGTTCGTCATGTAGATCATCAGCATCAGTGAAAAGTAAATGTTTGGTGTGGCATATTAGATGGCCAAATTATTGAGCCCCATTTTTTTTTAAGGTAATCTTAATCGAGAAATGTATTTACAATTTTTATAAAGTAATCTACCTTAATTTTTAGAGGATATTAATTTAGAAACTAGAGGACTCATATAGTTTCAACACGATGATGCGCCTTCGCACAGAGCTAACATTATGCGAGACTATTTACACCAAAGTATCCTGAACATTGGATAGAATTTAACGGGTATGTCCAATGGTCTCCAAATTCCTCTGATTTGACTTGTGATTTTTTTCTATGGGGATTCATTAAACGGATTGTTTTTGCTACGGAGCCAATGAATCCGATCGATATGAGAAATTGCATCACCAGAGCTCTGGCAGCTATTCCCGAAGAAGTCTTTCAAAGGACTATTATTGCGTTACGTGATAGGTTCCAATCTGTATTGAAGTGAATGGTGATACATTTGAACAAATGTTATAAATTCATGTAAATCGTGAGAGGTAAGAGGATTCACGGAAATCAAGCACTCCAAAAGGAACAGAAAACTATTACGTCTACGTCGTTGTTTCTGGGTAACGCTAAAAATAAAATTAGAATAAAAAGTATATTTAAGAAATTCAAGATAACCTCGACCTGAGCTTGAAGACAGTATATCGAAGTCAACAAAGGTCATCATTCTTTCTTTGTCTCAAACCTAATCGTTTTAAGATAATGGTTTGATTTAACATTCACCTGTTAACTTTTGAGTCTCATAACTCGGAAAGTACTCAATAAAAAAATACTTTATCATAGCGTTTTGAAAAGGTTTTGAAGTCAATTATAAGAATATGATATGAAAAATAGGGGGTTCCATTTGAGAAAATTAGATTGACCATCCTCTGACTTTAAGTAGATGTTCCAAGGTCAAACCAAGGTCACTATTGTACGTCTCCCTCAACATCATATAACTTTTATTTAAAGAGTTTTTTGTAAAATTGCATATTTTTGAAATATTTGCCTGTTAAGATTAAAAATACTCACCCTGTATATACAACATGTCCTATTGTAAACAGTCGGTCTGAATATCTCAAAAATTGAGCCCATTAGACAAAAATGTTTCAAACAAAAGTTGTATGATTTCAAAGGGGACATAAAACAGCTATATCGGTTTGATTATAGATAGCGCCACTTTCGAGATATTTATTCATGATTATTTTTCTTAAATGTAAACCTGATTGTTTTTATTATACCACCTTTTTCTATCAATTAATTTGAACAATTTTTGTCTGAAACATTTATTTATCTGCCTAATATTTTTTGAGATATTTAAAGAAAACTTTATAATTTTTTCAATATTTAACTTACGATATCTTGCTAACTATTTGTCGGAAGAAAAAGTGGTACTAGACTTTTTTGCTCTACTTGGTCTCAAGATTATATTGTTACAACAGCGCCCTATCTTTTCGCGCTCTGAAATTTCAAAATCATCAAATTAACAGAAGTTAGGGCACTATTGTAACAATATATTCTTGAGACCAAGTAGAGTAAAAAAATCTAATACCACTTTTTCTTCCGACATATGGTAAGCGAGATATCTTAAGTTAAATATTGAAAAAGTTACCAAGTTTTCTTTAAATATCTAAAAATATATTAGTCAAATAAAAAAATGTTCCAGATAAAAGTTGTTTAAATTTACTGGTAAAAAAAGACGGTGTAATAAAAAATTGGGGTTTCTATTTAAGAAAAATAATGATCAGTGATTATCTCGAAAGTGATGCCATTTATAAACAAAATAGTATAGTAGTTATATGTCCCCCTTGAAACTATACAACTTTTGTCTGAAACATTTTTCTCTAAAATGTCGTTTTTATAAAAATATCGAGTAGTAGTACGTGTAGTCTGTGACACCCTGTATATCATGACTAAATATGTATGTGCACGCACACGCGTATATGTGTGTACGTATATATGTATATATGTATATTCATTTCTATATATTAGAATTTTTTTTAATTATGCTTATCACAGTTATTAGACAGACTATATGATAACATTATTATTAGATTGTCGGAAAAGTCATGACGCACTTTTGCAACAGATGATGCTAGTTCATTTTTGGAAGTACTAGAGTCATTTGTATCTATGTTATTGTTGTCATTTAATAGCTGACAGTTCTAGCTTCTTTTAAAAAAAAAATTGAGCAATTTGGTTGAGTTTTGGAGATTTTACAACGAGTTAAAGATGGAAGACCAAACTGTGTATTTTCGCCATATTTTACTGTTTTACTTCCGTAAATAGAAGAACGTGTGTCAAGCTTGTGAAAAATTGTGTAAAGTTTACGGTGATAATGCTCTACAAGAACGTCTGTGCCAACGATGATTCACGAAATTCCGTGTTGGTGATTTTGATCTTAACGACGCTCCTCGGTCAGGGAGGCCCACCGGGGTTGATGACGACATAAAGGCATTAATCGATTCAAACCCACGTTACAAGACATGAGAGAAACGACATTACAGAAACATTAAACATCCATCATTCAAGCATTCACGACCACCTGAAGAAGCTGGAATACGTAAGCAAGCTCAATATTTGGATTCCTCATAACCTCACAGAAGTTCATTTGACAGCGTTTATAAACATCTGCAATATGTTCATTAAACGTGAGGAAAACAATCCTTTTTTGAAGCGAATGATAACTGCCCTGTATAAAATGTCTAATTGAAACATATTAAAAAGTATTGATATTTTGAATACGTCTGAATTCTGCTTTCTGATCCGAAGAAAGGGATTGAAAAATATTAGTTCCCATTAAATTTCACCGCGTTAAATGCGAGACGGCAGTGGTAAATGCTTCGCATTAAAAAGGATTCAATTCATTTCAAATATGTCTTGCATTCAATCGCAATCGATAATTTTCAAATGCGAACTTTCGCATTGAAAAGTATTCACTTCTTCTCCTAATTGTTTTCGGATTTAGAGGCATAGAAGATTTTCACGTTCTATTCCCCGTCGCATTGAAAAGTATTAGCTGGAGATCCAATCCGAGATTTCCGCAAACCAGAATTCACGATGAAATCTCGTGAATGCGAAACAATACTTTTAAATACGACATTTTATACAGGGTGGTGATGAGAAGTGAATTGTTTACAACCATGTGGAACATAAAATCTTGGTCCCGATATGATGATTTGTCTCAAACGACATCGAAAACAGACATTCATTAGGAAAGGTTATGCTCTCAGTATGGTGGAATTTTAAAAATGTAATTTTCGAGCTCCTACCAAGGACCAAACAGTCAATTCGAATGTGTACTATCGGCAATTGGACAATTTGAACGAATCCATCATCCAGAAACATCCAGAGCTCGTTAATTATAAAGGAATTGTGTTCCATCACGACAACGCGAGACCACATACAAGTTTGATCACCCGTCAAAAATTATTGGAGCTTGAATGGGATGTGTCGCCATATCCACCATGCTCGCCTGACCTTGCGCCGTCAGACTTCTACTTGTTTCGCTCTCTTCAAAACTCCTTACATGGTATAACGTTAAATTCAAATGAGGCTGTAAATCAGTACCTTGTTCAATTTTTTGCCGATAAAAATAGGTCCTTTTAAGAACGAGGAATTATGAAGCTCAGTGGAAGATGGCAAAAGGTTGTCGAACAAAACGGGCAATATATCATTGATTGATCTTTGTTCTTTATAAATATAAATAAATGACCTTTGAAAAACAGAAAGAATACGTCATGACTTTTCCGACAACCTAATATAATCGTTCACAGAAGCATTATCTCACAAAAATATTTCAAATAATTTATAATCCCTAAAAGAACGAAATGAAAGTATTAATTAATTTATTTTACTAATATGTTTCCTCTAAGGATTTCTTGAAGTTTATTGCTTGGAGTATTAACTTATATGGAGTAACATACTTACTGGCATGTAAATTCATGTTTGTTGCATTTTCCTTGGCATCCATGAGGTTCATCTGATCGATCGCTACAATCTGCTAGCCCATCGCAGAAGCGAACTTTTAATATACATTCGCCATTGTTACAAGTAAATTCACTCTCCAGAGGGCAAGCTGAATTAAAAAAGAAAATTGGGTTTATATATATCAACCTTGACAATACATGACTATATTAATTTATTATTTCATCAAATATTCAACAACTCAAATTTGATATTTACTTTTGTCAAATATTCGGCGAACTAATCATGTCAGTTCTTAAACTATGAATCACTCAACGTGACTATCGCTATATGCCCATAAATCAAGCACTAGTCATTATATAATATTTTCTTTTTGCACATTACGATACTAACAAATAAAGACGCCTAAAACCTGTTCTATAATAGTTGTTCCGAAATCGAGTGCTACTACATACATCATATATTGTATGTTGGAGAAAGAAATGTAAATACGACAAACTATTCTACAATTGAGCTATAACAAGTTGCAAGTCAAAACAAGAGTAATATTAAACGAATATGAATACTATATATTCGTAGCTATGAATATTATATATTGTATAATATATCAAAATTAAATTTGTCTCTAATATTTATTCATGCTTCAATGCAAACATATAATTTGTTAGTTAAAAATATGATAGATCTCTATAAAAGGGGATTCACTTCCTATAACTTCGACTTTAATATATATTATAAAAGTCATTCTTCTGTATCAAAAGCGTTCAGAAAATTCTAATTCCCTTCTTTATCAATCATTGTTTATTAAAAAATTATTAACAAAAGAAATTTCATAAATAGGATATTCATTTCTGACGCTATATATTTTTTTCGAATGAATTTACATACAATATATGTATATGCGTATAGATTTCTCGAATGATTCTACGAATAATGTAGTCATGCGCATTCTCAACAAACACAATATTACATATAACACACCTGTTGGTTGTAATTTCCTATTCAACAATATAACTGTTATATAACGCATGTATTATATAACAGTTACATTGTTGAGAATTATATCTAATAGGTGTGTTATATGTTACATCATGTTTGCTGAGTTAATTCGCGCCGCGAGAGGAGAGGCGTTGTTGCCCCCATCCGGCCGTCACTCTTCGCCAGTTGCCGGAGGTCGGCCGGATTTAACGCAAAATATAAACAAATGCCTCAACATGTTAACTCATGTGCTGGTCTATTAATAAAAACTTCTTTACAATATTCTGAAAACATACATCGGCCTTCATAGGCGTTCATAGACACAAAATATGACCTCTTTCTACGATATAAACTTTCTTATACAAAATTAATAATTTCATCAATTATTGATTCAATGATTCGATCACATAACATACAGGGTCTGCCAAAAGTTCTGGAACGGCTAATTATTTCAAAAAATAATGATTGTTTGAACAATGTTTGAAACAAAAGTTGTAGGGCTTAAAAAAAGCTATCAGATATTGATAATTGTTTGACCTTGGAATGACCTTGAGAAATGTTATCAAGGTCGACATAAAAATCTTAAATGGAAATTCCAATTTTTTATTACACCGTCTTTTTCCACCAATTAATTTGAACAACTTTTGTTCTGAAATATTTTTTCATTTGCCTAATATTTTTTGAGATATTTAAGAATAACTTAGTAACTTTTTTAATATTTAACTTACGATATTTCGCTGTATGTTGGGATAAAAAATGGTAGACTTTTCTATTCTACTTGGTCTCAAGAATATATTGTTACAATAGCGCTCTGACTTTTGTTAATTTGATGATTTTGAAATTTCGAAAGATCGATAAATTAACAAAAAATAGAGCATTATTCAATATATTCAATATATTCTTGAGATCAAATAGAATAGAAAAATCTAGTACCATTTTTTTATCCCGACAAACAGTTGGCGAGATATCGTAAGTTAAATATTGAAAAAATTGCTAAGATATCCTTAACCTTTTAACTGCTGAGATATTAAATGACCAGTATGAGTTATTTTTGCTGAGTTATTTTTACAATTATAAAATATTTTATAATTTACTGATGATCCAGATTTTCACAAATTCATATTTTTAAATTTTAAGAAAATACCACACACAATACCACACACATTGAAAGTCCAAATCGAGTAAACTCGATAGCAAGGCCGCCATTTTTTCCACACTCGAATTATCTCGATTGTAGCAGTTAAAGGGTTAAATATCTCAAAAAATATTAGGCAAATAAAAAAATGTTTCAGACAAAAGTTGTTCAAACTAATTGGTGGAAAAAGACGGTATGATAAAAAGTTTTAGTTTCCATTTAAGATTTTTATGTCTACCTTGATAACGTTTGTCAAGGTCATTCCAAGGTCAAACAATTATCAATATCAGATAGCTTTTTTAAGCCCTATAACTTTTGTTTCAAACATTGTTTTAAGCAATCATTATTTTTTGAAATAATTAGCCGTTCCGGAACTTTTGACAGACCCTATATGTGTATTTAGTCATAGTCGTGAGTCAGAAAGGATAGGACATTTCTCAGTTCGACACTAACTTATAACCACTTTATACAATAGCCGACAAAATCCATTGTACATGTGTCCAATATCCGACTCTGACGTACAATGTATTGTAGACTAAGTCTTAGTTGCTGTTCAATGTTCAATCAAGAGTTTCACCGGACATATATTCAAAATTTTTATATAGTCTAAGAAGGGAAAGATGCATTGACCGGAAAACGGTTTGGAACGAAACTTACGGAGTTAATAGTACTTGACTACTAATAACTCATGGTAATAGCATACGACGCAATACCTCTTCGTTTTCGAGAAAAAACGGTCTAAACAAAAGAGCCAACAAAGTGTACGAGTTAGTAAGAAAGGTATTCAACGAAGCGGCGTAGCGCAGCAGCGAAGGTAACGAACTACGAGCTGACGGCTGAGGTTCGATCCCTGCTGTATGGTTTTTCTTATTCTGTAAGCATAAAAATGAAAAAGAAAACATTAATAAATAATAAAACTGCGTTTCTTAAATATATAAGTGTTTGTTAAATATATTATTAATGATTTAAATTGCAAAAAGACCGTAAATCTTATCTATAAAAATCTTATCTATAAAATACATAGTGTATGAGAAAATTTTTATATAATAATTGCAATGGAAATAGGAATAAAAATATTGTTATGAAATATACAGGGTGTTATAAAAGTCTCGGAAGAGCAGAATAACTCGAAAAATATGAGTCCTAGAAAAAATGCGAAGTACTGGGTTTTTATGATTTTTTCCTGGCTATCTGATGGTGACCTTGGATTTGACCTTGACAATGACCTTGAAGGTCACTTCAAGGTCAGGTCAATTTTTTAAATGGGAACCCATACTCTTGACCCCAGAAAAGAAAAGAGCGGAAAATTTTACGTTCGGATATGACCTTAAACACTGCCAAATTTGACCTCTGAAGGTCACATAAAGGTCTAAGCTTGTTTTAGGCTGAAAACGCGAATATCTTCGAAAATGCATCTGCTAGGGAGCAATGTTACGCATAAGAATAAGAATATAGAGGTCAACGAGGGACATTCAGCCGTGATCTTATTTTATTCTCAAGGTCATGAGTTAAGATTATTATTAAGGTCAAACCGGACTTTTTTAGGACTAAAAATCCATACTTTTGACCTAAAAGTGTCAAGATTGAAAAATTTTACGTTCGGATATGATGTTTTCAACCTTGACCTTGTTCTCAAAATTATGCGTTCTACGTTACTACACTGATCGTGAAGTCTACTGAAAGTAAAGCGTCTCAAACCCGACCACTGAAGGCAAGGTGTCTCAAACCCGACCACTGAAGGCAAGGTGTCTCAAATCCGGCCACTTAAGGCAAGGTGTCTTAAACCCGACCACTGAAGGCAAGGTGTCTCAAACTCGACCACTGAAAGCAAGGTTCAGTTAGTCCCGGCCACCGAAGACAAAGTACCTTGTAACTCGGCCTGAGATTACAAGAGATGTCCAAAATATTCCCCATTGACCGTTTGACAGTGTGCTAAGCGGACGTACAAATTATCAGTCGCACTCCTTATCATTTCTGAAGATATTGCAGCACATTCGTCTATGATCCGTTGTTGAAGCTCATCCAGGTTACGAGGTTCAGTGAAATAAACTTTATTTTTTATGTAGCTCCAAAAAAAGAAATCAAGTGGTGCAATGTCGGGCGATCTCGGTGGCCATTCGATTGTTCCTCTTCTACCTATCCATCGATTAGGGAAAGTATCGTTTAAATAGTTCCGAACAATGCGTCCATAATGTGGCGGTGCCCCATCTTGCTGGAATCAAATATCATCAAAATTACCACCAACAATCTCCTGTATTGATGGAACAATTTGGTCTGTTAGAAGCTGCAGATAGGTTTCTGAGTTCAAATTCCCATTTATAAAAAAAGACCCAATCACTTAATTATCATAAAGACCTGCCTAAACATTCAATTTTTGAGGTCGCTGCGTATGTGCTTCAAGCATCCAATGAGGATTTTCGTTGTCCCAATATCTAAAATTATGACGGTTTACCTTATCAGTAATTTTAAAAGACGCTTCGTCTGAAAAAACGATATTATGCAAAAAGTTCGGTTGCTGATCAATTCTTTGCGTCATAACTTCTGAAAATTGCACCGTACGGTCGAAATCATCCTCATTCAACTCATGGTGGAAATGAATTTTGTAGGGGTGGAACTTAATGATCTTTAGATTTTTGGAAATTGACAATACATTCATTTGAAGCTGTTGAGATGCTTTTCTAATTGACAATCTGGGATTTTCAACAAATGATTGGGCTACTTCAAATTGCCGCTCTTCTGTCGTTTGTGACCTTAGCCTCCCAGATTTTTGGCGGTTTTTATCGCTCCAAGTTTCTACAAATCGTCTGATGGTGAGAGATACAGTCGATATTGAAATACCTTCGCCTTCATTACGAAAGTTTTCATTGAACAGCAATCTCATTTCACTGTATGACCTTTGTCTATCCCCCCATCCTCTCATCATCAATAGCGAAACACTCCCATGCTCTGTAAGAGAAGCCATTTGGAATTGAAAACATAAAATTTGCAAAAAATTTGGTATAAAAAATTCGGTTTCTTTACCTTTAAATAGAAATAAT